GTACCCAGTACCCTGTGCGCACGACCCACCGCACTCCAGGTGACCCACACGCGATCTGCAGCGCTCCCAGCATCTTGTGCGCGTGCCCAATGTCCCAGGTGCAACCCTAGCGCACCGAGTAGATCCCAGGCTCGAACTAGCAGCACCTCTGTTACGGTTGGATGTGTAGGACATAACCTAGATGCCCTAGCAACCCTATTTCATTTTTTAACGTGCCTCAATTTACTTTTTTTTAGCCTTTACTATCGAGCCTTGATCAAATTAAATTGAGCCATAACCAGTTTTCTGAGCCCTTTAGCCGAGCTTAGAAAATTAATTAATTAAGTTAAATTATTTTAATAATTAATTAAGTAATATATTATATTCATGTAAGATAGATTCTTACAATGTCGATTTCAAGGAGTCGAGTTCGTGAGACGAGCATCGACCATTTCTTTCATTTTTTCATTCGACAAGTCGAGGTGGGGATTTTTCTATGCACTTATTCATCTTAATTGCATGCTATCTTTTTAGTTGTATATACATGTCGCAAGCCTTCGGGAAGAGAATTAACAGTAAATTAATAGGACCTTTGGATAGTGGTTTGGCCTTCGAGTAAAAAATTTACAGTAAATTACCAGTGTATAAGAGCCGTAAGTTTGAGTATACCATGGTGGCTTGAAATAAGAGCCACAAGTCCGGGTAAACCATGGAGGCTTTGTAATATCCCGAGATATTATCAGTATAAATTACGTTTAATTCCGATATAGTAACGTTATTGTTTATTATTTTCGGAATTAATTAAGTTCAGTCGGAATTACCGAAATTGATTTTCAACGTACCGTTTACGTTCGAAATAATTTTGGTAATTGAGTATTATGTTTAATTAATAATTAAACATAAAGCTAAGTGATTAATTACATTAATTAATCACAATTAGATGTTGCAAGCCCTAATAGCCGTGCCTTAGTAGATTAAATTGCATGATTTAAGTCATATTTCCTCCCAATTTGAACAAAGCCGTAGCCTTCCTTCATCTTACGGAAATTAATTTTCCTCCACAAACTTGCTAAATACGTGGCTAATAAAGGCATAGCTTAGTCATCCTTAATGTCCCAAAATCTTAGCAAGTGGCAAGCAAGGAATAAGCCACATCAAGCATGCATCATCCCCCCCCATGGCCGTGTGCCTATATAAGGCAATCACTTGGGGAAAAATTCGTCATTTTCCCTTAGGAGCGAGCAGCAAACCTTCAGCATATAAACTCCCTTAAACCATCAAGTTTCCTTAAGAAAATTCCTCCAAAATCCTATCACAATCGCACGGCAAACCGAAGCCCTATCGCACGGCGAGTTCAAGGACCAAGTAGCACGCCAAATTCCGATCCCGTCGAGCGTTCAGAAAGGTAAACTTCTCTTCAGTTCATAGCCTTGTTAATTAGGTCAATTCAGAGTTTAGTGTTCGGTTAATTGTCGGAATTTTCAGATGAAAGCCGTGCCTTAAGTCTGATTAGGTTGAATAAATTCATAATTAATTTATGTTCAATTCAGTCCGACATGTTCTGAGCATTTATCGATTATTTAGCCTCTATTCAGTTAACCATGTTCAGTCAAGTGAGTATTGTCGTGTAAAAATGGAGAAAAGCCGATGAAATGGCCCCAGCCGGCGCCCCCGCGCCTATTGCGCGTAGCCTCGGGTAGCCAAGGGCCGAGGCTTGTTACTTTCAGTGTTAAGCATAACTGTCCGTGT